CGCCTTGCTCCAGTGCTCCCATCCCCGGCCTCCTCGTCGGCGAGTCCCTCAACAAACCGGCCTGCACAAGCGATGCCCGTGCGGAGGACCCCTAGTAAGCTGTTGGCGAGATTGACACCTCGGCGTGCTGCGCCTCCTCCTCTGCGTCCAGGGTGTCAAGTCCCCCTGCAACATCCTTCTCAGAAGGATGAGAACATCCACTTCGAAGGGCACGACCACACGCGTTCCACGGAGGCAGACTGGGGTCATGACATGATTTGGCACCCGGGGACGATCCAGCCCGCAATTCGGAAGGGGGAGTGGGTCATGGCCATAGTCGACACTGATGGGGAATGGAAGCCGTCCGAGCGCTTGGCCAAGTCCGACTACTTGGATATCGCGAGGAGTGTTGTGGTGGACAAAGTGACGTCAGAGAACAGCAACCTGCAGCCCGCCGACCCGTCCATCATTGCCACTGCTGGTCGCTTGTTCCTGGAACTTCATGACAAGCAGTGGTTGGAACTATGTGACGATTTCTACGACCTCGAGACGAGTTCTTCGAAGAAAAAGGTGAACTGGAAAGTACCCCCGTCGACAGGGACCGAGGGTAGTGTGGGAGGAGGACCTCCGAGCCCCCCCGGGGACGGAGGGGGGGGAGGCAGTGGCCACGAGGAAGGAGGTGGCGGAGGCAGTGGCCATACGACATCAGGGGGAAGTGCGCCGGCATCATCGCCTGCCCCTGGCGGTCAGGGCAGGATCGCGCACAGCGGCGTGGGGGAAGGGGGGGTGAACGTCACACACTCCCCAACATCAGGGAGTGCCAAGTCGGGGAAGTTCACCCGCATCCGAACTTCGCAGACGGAGGACCCAGTGCCCGTGGAGGCAGCGAAGTCGGTCGGAATCCGCACTTCGACGACTCTGGAGCAGGCGGCCCTTCCCTTGTGGACTGCTTTCGGCTCCTCCGGTGAAGTGGGGCGGGGCTCACGTGCAGGGGATTCTGTCTCCACCGTGAAGGGCAAGTCCGCGGGCATCCCTACCAGGGCGGACGACATTCAGGCGAGTGTACCGGTCCAGCGGAGCTCTACAGGAGCACAGGCGTCGGAGACGGGCACCGCCCTGGCTGTGCGGGAGGCGACGCCGCCGGCCCTTGGACAAGGCCGATCTGCGGAGTCACAGAGAGAGATTGCTGGTGCAGCGCCGTCCGCCTTCCTTGTGACGAAGTCCGCCGGTATCCGTACTTCGTCCGTGACGTGCCTGCAGTCTGAGGAGGCAGGGACGGAGGAAGGTGGTACGTCTGTTCATACAGACGACCACTCCTTGGGATCCGCCTTGATGCGGCTGCAAGGAGCCGAGTCGAGTGAGACTGACGGGGGGGAAGAATGGGTGCAAGTCGAGGGCGGGGAAGAAGATGGAGAATGGGAGGAGAGGGGAGAAGGAGACGAAGGGCGAGAGAAGGAGTTGATTACATTGTGCGACGGGGAAGACGGTGAAGAAGGAGGACTCAGTATTACAAACGAGGAAAGGGTGGATGCCGGAGACAAGGATGTCTGTGGGGAGACATCTGATTCGTTCGGTCTGGTGTACGCCAGACCAGGTGAAGGTGATATTGACGACGATGCGACGACGATGGATATGGAGACGCAGGTGGTTAGTGACCTTTCCGTGGACCACGAAGAATATGACGCCCACCACCTGGCCACGGCGGTGCATCCCCCCGACGGCTGCGACGAGGCTATCATGACAGTGAGCCCGGCGAAAACGACTCGCCGTCTTAGCGTCAACGAGGTCATCGATAGCATACTGGGCGACGTGCAAGCTAAAACACTTCCATCCACCCCGTCAAAAGGCGATGCCCTTCTCAGCAACGACACTTTCGCGGCTGGGGACTTGGCGCTCATCCAGCGGTGCTTTCCGGTACCCTCGTCACTGCTCACAGGAGGAAGAGGGGGGGTTGTTGGGGGCCGCCAGCACATCATGTCCCCAAAAAAGTGCAGGGTAGGCACTCCGGCCCTGACTGTCCTCGCCTTACCAGCGCCTACGTCGCCGACGAAGGAGCGGAAAGAAAAACAAGCTGGTAAGCATTGACGATCGTCGCGATGTCAGCACTCCCGCGTTTCGGGATTGTCGACGCTGTCTGTCAACCCCGTTGCCGGTTTATGCCCCACGTAAGATGGACAAAATTCCGCTTCACTTGTCATCGAGGACCAATTGGCCTCTTGTTCTTTAACACACCGTCACGCTTTATTCTGCGACCGCTCATCCGCTCCTCCCTCTACAAGTCCTTTGTCGCCGTCTCGACTTTCTATCTTTGGCCGACACCTGTAGTGCGGATACCGGCGGACTACAAGACAGACCGTCCGATAAACGACTTTCGCAGCGACGAGCTTGTGTGCATTCGCACATAAAACGACGAGCGCAGTCTAGCCCGAGAACCCTGCACTTGACAACGAAAGACCACATCACGCCAAAGAAGAGGAATGTTTACAAATGCCGAAGTTTGGATTCCGGCGGACTTGCAGCTACAACCAGCAGGTCAGGTCGCAGAACCGGGTTTGGTCCTGATACTGGAACTGCGGAAACCGCTGGAAAAATGGTAATACGGAAGGTCTGTTCTGAAGTCCGCCGGCATCCGAACTACAAGTGCCGGCGCGAGGTGGAGCACGCCCCGTTGGTCAGTGTTTGCTAATTGTGGCTGCAAGTCCGCTGGAATCCGCACATCGGCAAATGCCGACTTTCCACCTCGCGCCGGCACTTGTAGTGCGGATACCGGTGGTCTAGAAAACATACCCTTCGAAGTTCCGGTTTCCTCCGGTCACCGCAGTTCCAGTGTCAGGACCAAACCCGGTTGGTCCCTGTCTACTAGTCGTAGTTGCAAGTCCGACGAAATCCGAACTTCAGCATTGGTAGGCGTTCCTCTTCTTTGGCCTGATGTGGTCTTTGTCGTCATGTGCTGGGGTCTCGGGCTCGACAACGCTCGTCGTTTTATGTCTGAATGCACGCATGCTTGTGGGCTACATTATCTTTCACATTGTCACTTTCGCCGAACTCCTCCTGGGAATCATATATTCATTTCGGGTTCTGTCTGTTCTCTGTTTTACAGGGGTCCGGTCGTCTCGAAAAAGGAGTTTCTCGAAATATCCGGCACATGTATTGCAGAAACTTCCGAGATTCACGACAAGAAACAAGAATATGTTAAAGGCATCAGGGGTTGATGTCGAGATTGGAGAGAAGGAGCATGCCTTAGCCATTGACGAATGTCTTTCCCTTCTACCTGCGGAGAAGGGGACATATCCATGATCTGTGACTAGGGGTCAGGCCATGTATGAAAAATACTTAGCGACGTGTCGTGCGGTGAACGACAACCTTTAGAACTTCCTTTCTCACTTCCCCGCGTGTGCGTTGGTCGATGATGTGCAGCTCGGGCCACAACACCTGCAGCCTGGGGGGGGCATTTCGCTACGGCGATTGCGCCTCGAGTCTCGCGGGTTATGGATGATGTTTCTCGCAGCGTGGTGCCTCCTCATCATGTCCTCTCTTCCCTTGCGGATGATCAATTCAGAATCACGACGAAAGATATGCTCACCGTTTTGCAAGCCAATGGCAAGATCAACGATGAGGTGGTGAATTTCTACATGGCCCTTTTGGGGTCGACGGCATCCGCGACACGTGCACGGCCATCAGGCCTCCGAATCTTCAGGTTCAATTCTTTCTTCTTCAGCATGCTGCAACTTCGAGGACACACTGGGGTGAAGAGGTGGGCTAAAAATGTTGATCTGCATCAGTTCGATATGATCTTCGTTCCGGTGCACAAACATAACGATCACTGGATCCTACTTTCCGTTAATTTGAGAGACAATATCTTCGAAAATTTTGACTCTTTTCCTCGCGTTAAAACCGATTCCAGTTTCTACCGTAGTATTTTCGAGTTGATTGTACAGTATTTAGAACATCATACCTCACATAGCCGGTCGGATAGGAGTTGGAAGACTATGGTCAGAAAAATTGTTGTGGAAGGAGTTCCAAGGCAAGTTGATGGAGCTAGTTGCGCGGTGTTCATGTTGACATTTGCAACGCTGTTGCAACATGGTGATCGACCCCCTTTCAGATTCTCGAGTAAAAATTTGCCTGTTATTAGACAACAACTGGCAACATGTCTCTTGGAAGGACGTTGTCTTTGACAGTTTTCAATGACTTGTACAAAATTCTATAAATGTATTTCATTCTATGGCAATTGTATTCGGTATAACAGCCATTTCGTCAAAACGGACATATTATATTTTTTGAACGAAATCAAAACTGACTTTTTTTGCCAAAATCCGGTCGGAATTTTTTGCTCCTGGGGGTCCGGCGTTCCCAAAACGCC